TATATATATACACATACGTATATATGTATATATACATTTATAATACACATTCATCTATCTCTGTCTCTCTCTCTCTCTCTCTGTCTCTCCCTGTCGTGTTCGCCTGGTGGGTCCCTTGCTGCCGGCAGCAACGAGCTGTGGCAGAAGAAGGGCCTCGTACACTGAATCTGCAAGCCATGTGCGCGCAATATGTTAGCGACACGAGACATGGAGTGTCGCCTGACGGAACCTCGCCAAGCCTAAAGTATCAGGGAAACCTGCTAATGTTCACCTAGCGACGGTGTAGTGCCTGGTTAGGTCGCTCTTTGGGCGTCTGGACGACCACTCCTGCTGCCCCGGTGACTGCCAAGCCTACAACAACAACAACGACGCCGCCAGCTCGGTTGAAAGCCAAAGCAGCGAAACCCGAGGCAGGGCACTAAGGGCACTTGCCGACCGTTGATACTGGTCTTCTTGATTTTGCATGTTCGCGGATCCATTGGGCCTGTTGAGCAGCTCGTTGCAGGTTCCGGAGCAACATGGTCCGGCCAAACCGCCGGCGACACCCAAAAAGATGCTCGGCCAGGAGAGCATTTGAGTCAACAGCTCAAGGGGTCATCCTGGAGTTGCATCTGCGAACATGGTGTTTTGTGTAGAGCAAAAGCATTTTCAGTTGACCTAGATTAGTCTGGTTGAAGTGTCCGTCTAGTTTCTACTTCGTGCCTGCATACTGCTCAGCTCAACGGTTGTGCTTGCACTCAGCCCCAGACACTTCAGTAAGCTTCACCAGGTGCACATGGTGCAAACTGCTGCGATGAGCTTCGGGCCAACGTTGCCACTTTCGGTGCTAGGCCTCTTCGTAGCGTTTTGGCGAAGCTGCGGTGCTGCATTACTGCATTACTTTCCGTAGGCATAGGTAGGCCGGTATAGGCATGAGGAAGATCTTTGGCACCAAGCAGGTCCACCCAGTCCAGCCCTTCCCGGCGTCTGAGAAGCACAGTCGAACCGTCAAAAAGAATTAACTTAAGTTCTGCACGTGGTCTCAGAAGGCACCGAGGCCGGCAGAAGCCGGACACTCCTTGAGATTTTCGCCGAGCCTCCACCCTGTGGGGCTTTCGGAGCTACGAAAGTGAGTACGGCCCAGTCTCTGACAGTCCGTGCAGGGAGGCCGCTTCCTCACTTGGACTTGACAAAGGGCAGTCCAGGGTGATTAGTTTCAAGCCGCCGTTGCCTGGCGCACGTGTGACGCGAGCTCTTGCCGAAGTGCAGCGCTTTCTTGCACACACCGGTGTGAAGGCAGTTGCTGGCTTGTCCGGGTCAGTCGGAAAAAGCATTCACTCGCAGGGTGTTGTTGTTGTTGTTGGGGACAGAGTCAAGGGGAGGGGCTATTTAGGGGGAAAGGAGATCCAAAGGAGATCCATAGAGGCTTTCCTGCCGCAGCCCGGGTATGCACTGTTGAAGAGCCACGAGCAGGCGCTTCTCGAGGAACACGGGGTTAACTTTGCTGGGTGCTTGGAGAAGTCGGAGCTCAGGGCATCTTGGCTGCAGTTAGCTTCAAGCTGTCGAGCACTCGTCGTACTCATACATCGCCGGAAAGACCCAGGCATACCCGGGCTGCTTCCGTGATGTGCTTGCTGAGGAGCTTTGGGACTGCTTCCTGGAGCTTTGCCAAAAACCCCTAGCGTCGCTCCAGGCAGGGCTTTGCTTAGCGGAAAATGCTTCAAAGTTCTAGTGCTGACTCTTCTCAGGCCCAGGTGTCGCAGCTAGCTGGCCCCAGTGGGCCCAGGTTCCCTGATGCAGGGACCCGACTTCCGCCTGCGCTCTTCCTGGGCTTGTGCTTGGGACTAGCTCAGGTCCCTTCTTGCGCCCGCTTCCTTGTGGCAAAGAGGGCCCCCAGAAGACAGCCTGAGCAGGCTCAACCTCTAAGCGCATCCCTGCTACATGCTCCGCATTGCCCCGCCACTGCAGTTGCAACTCGCCTTCTCAGGCGGACGAGGCCGAAGCCCGTCCCCGCCCGGTCGCGACTCCGCGAGTTGCCGAGGCCCATTGCGCTGGCACTTCGATGTCTGCGGTTTCCTGAGTGCAGGTTGCCTCGAGCCGGGATCGAGAAGCGCCCCAGCGGCAGCACGTGACAGCTTCCATGCTGCCTGTAGCCTTTGCGGGAGTGCTGCGAGAGCTGTGAGATTTTGCCACGCCAGGCTCAGGAGGAAGTGCTCCGCATCCTGCCACTGCGCCGCGAGGAGCTGCTGAAGTTGCGCAGGGGAAGGGGGAACACCGAGCAATGCGGGCTCTTCAACACCAAATCTGACACGGAGCTTCCGACTGTTTTCATCTTTCGGTGCAAGAGGACTTCAGATCACCGGCGGACTGGGGCTTCGCCGTGCTGGGGCTAGGGGTCTGATACTCTGTACGTGATCAGCTTGTGTTCGGTGAGAGTGGCAGCATTTCATGACATCTTGCGTCACACTTCCTGCGCATGAGGCCCCTCAGGTGCCTGACAATGCCGCAGCGGTTCAACGTGGGAGCCCTAGCTTGTGCAATTATACGAGCAGGCGGCTAAGCGGCATCTGTGTGTGTTGCCAGTATTCTTAAGTATTCCTAACTGTAACTATTCGGGAGATCCAAGGCAGCTACCGAAACTTGATGCGAAAGCTCCATCCCGACAAAGTGGTGGCCTCACCAAAGCCAAAGCAGAGATGTGTGCGCGGACATCGTGGTTATGTTTCCGATAGGTTCTGGCGACAGATGGCGTCGAAAGAAGCATCCAGCTCATCCGTGAAGCGAAGGCCTCGGCACAGGGCTATGAGTGCAGCCACTTGTCCGAAACGCTTGCAGGACATCTGCGAAAAAAGCTTTTCACGGATTGAACCTCCCATGGCACCACAGTCACTGAGGCTTGCTCCTAGTATCCTTACTCGCATCGGAGAGAGGCCTGCACGATAGTCGGAGTCTGGGAGGTACGAGGTCTTGGACAGCAAAGTCGGGCACCGGCGCTACCAGCTCCGTCTGGAGCCATGAGAGAGCGAAGAGAGAACGAGCTGATGAGAGGGGACTCAACCGCAGCCCATCTCTGAATGCCTGTGGACCTGAAGTACCAGTCACATTGCACGTAGATTTCAGACACCTTTGGAATGAGGGCTGTTACGAGCCAAGTCTTCACCTCTGAAGCGCTCATGATGTACTCTTTCGCTGAGGTTGGCTGCCTCCTCCGGTGACGGGGCCTCAGCGTTGATCAGGCTTTAGTACGGTTTGAAGGGAAGCACACGGGTCAAAACTGGAAGCAAAGCCTCCGAGGCAGGATGCTGCGCCCGTCTGCAGGTCAGGGTCTGAAACAGCGCTTTTGTGCCGATACTCTTCCTGGTTTTGCAGTTTTGCAATAAACTAACTGGACGGGTGGAGTTGGTGGGCTGTCGGAATACCTGCGTTGCTTGATCATTGATGTGAGGGTGTGTGTAGTGACCTTGTCTGTTGCAGGTATTTGGTTTCTGCCCTGGACCCGGCGTATGGGTTTGATTCTCAGTGCCTAGAGCAGGCAGGCGGATTGAGTAAAGCTTGCTGGTGACTTGTAGGAAGCCGCTCACGATCACGGTGCTAGAGCCGGACTACAGCGAGGCCTTCTCGGAGCAGATGTTATCGCTTGAATGTTGCATGACATCAGGAGCTGAGGAGGTTCGTGACAACGGAGGAGCTCACGAGTTTCGTCCTTGCAGCGAGGGCCTCCTTCTGGTCTACGTGAAGATGATATGTCTCGATAGCACGAGTCGGCAGAGGTCGGTTGTTGCATTGCCGGAGCCAATTTTTGCCGCAGCCGTCCTGCCCCAAGTGCAAATCGGACGGGTGTCAAGCAAGACGATAGACAGTGCCCAGCCGCTTGGAACGCACGCTGTGAAGGGTGTCTGTATCGCCTGATAAACAGCATGTCGTGCCAGAGGACAGAACCCTCCTGTAAGCCCGTGCCCCTACAGAGCAGTCGTTTGATGCCTTCTCAAGTTCTGAAGCGGCTCCTTTCTCACTCGCGCCCATCTGAACGTGGTGGTGCGTGCCAGGCTAGTAGAAGCGAAGCGCTGATGCAGTTCGACGGCATTGGACAGAGCAAGGCAGCACCGCCCTCTTGGAGCTATTAGTACTGGTAACTGGTAGGTCTGTGGTAGATTAGAAGTCCCGCAGCAGAAGTTGTTGGAGGCAAGGATGGAGAGCCGAACGCACTTTGGCCGCGGTTAGCTCTAGCGCGAGGTGCAGGGCACGAAGTCACGAAGTCGAAGACGACTTGCTCTGGGTGTTGTGACGTACAACATATGTATGCGAGCCAGTTTTGTCCCCAGACCCATCAGCGGAACCTCCAACTTAAGGTCTTTTCGACCTCCTTCGACACGAGACCTACCTAGGCCTTCCTCTGCAGCGACATTTTCGGGGAGTAGGGCGTGGAGAGTTTCTTTTTGTCACATCTCTTCTCAGAATTCTCTATGTGAGCAAGACACCCTTTTTTGAAGGTACTGAAGCCTGGCCTTGTCACAACGACCCACAAGATGGGTGCAACACTTGATCTTTCGCTGTGCAGTCTGCGCACGATGTCTTCGGCATCGGATTCTTCAACATCGACCACGGGAGGCGAGTGTGCTAGAGTTCGGTTAATGGCACATCTGCCGAGACCCTTGCCAACAACAGGCATGTAGTGCAGGGGCGGCCCCGTCAACCCCCTAAGAACAGACGTCACTTGAGCTTGTATGCTCCAGCGTCAGCCGTTTCCGCCGCACTAGTGGGTGACAGACCTCGTCATCATTCCGACGCTGGCTTGCAATGCAGGCGTTTGACCGGGGGTGCAAGTTGCAAGGTGCAAAGGACGATGCGTATCATGGCTCCACTCACAGACAGCCACAGTTTCAAAGAGCTAGACAGCCGCAACCGTACTGTACTCGTAGCCCTTTGAGTTTCAAAAACTGTAACCCGCGTCTGCTGCTGAGCCGTCCTCGTGTCGACCGTGCGACCGCACAGAAGCGGCCGTGCCCCTGAGTTAGGAAATATGTGAAGGCAGCAAGATTTGGGCCAGCCCTCCTTTTCCAAGCCTCCAAGCCTGACGAAGCACACAAGGCGGAAAATCATCTGTCATGTTTAGGTCTCGCCCTTTCCTCGATCACCATCTCAGGTCAGAGAAGCTTTGGAAGTGTTCGCCGACTTGTGGAGCACACTGCTGTGGCCGTGTGCCAGAGGCGCATCCGTCAGATTTCTGTGCAAAAGTTGCGAGGGTTTCGAGCGAGAACCTTGATTGCAGAGGCACTGCGCGAAGAGAACCAAGCAGCCCGGCAAATGATAGCCGACCCGGAAATATGATAGGGAGCTTTGGCTGGGGCAGCCCGGGTAGTTGACGTCGCGAAGAGAATGAGTGCAAGACCGAGCTAGCTATGTCCTGCACGATCGACTATGCAGTTTCCGCTGTGGCATTGCATCTGAGGTCTTGCACATCTAGCCGAAGGTACTTCGCCGGTGATTCGCCAGTGATTTTTCTTTGCAGCAGGTTCGATCTCAATTTCGCTCCTTGGGCGAAGACCGGACAGGTTGCATTTTGTATTCAGCTGCATGTTGAACTCATGCACTGGTTGATGCGCCCGTTGTTTGTTCACGCTCGTTAACAAATGTGAGGTCTCAATCTATGAGTAGTCTCGTGTAGCGTGGCGGCAATCGTTACGAGATTCGCAATCGACCACATTCACTACAACTACAGAACAAACACTGCTATCAGCGATCCATTTTTGCCATGAGGCAGGTCAGGCTTTCGAGCCTTCCTTGCTAGTGCCAGTCAGTGTGCTTGGGGGAGGGCTCCAAAGCCTGGCCATCGCGGAGCCTGGCGGCTTCCTTTTGAAGAAATTCTTTTGAATTGATTGCTCCCTCTTGTTCGACAGCTCGTGACTCGTGGGTCAGCTTCGAGGGTCCTGGCTGAAGCATGCTGAAGCATGTGGATTCAGGACAGTCTTCTTGATGTTGGGGCATACCGAAGCCTCCCACTTGCAGTGTGCAGCTTGTGTCTAGGTTTCACCCCTCGAGAGTTTGACGGCAGGTTGCCAGAGCACAGGCTCGAGGTGATACTCTGAGCCGCAGCGCGGCTCATCTAATCTGGTTATACAGGCCCGTTGTGGACCGAAGCGTGGAAGCAGCCTGCGCAGGGCCACCGTCTGTGACATTGGCTTTGGTGCAGGGTGCTTCTCTTCGCCCAAAAGGTGGCTCAACAGTTTCTTGTCGCCTGTGGCAACTCAACCCTCAATCGTGACAGACTGTGACCCAGCTTGTTGAGCAGATGCAGAGTAGTTGCGCTGTGCTTTTCTACACATGTCTGCATGTTGAGGGGGCCCGAGGCTCTGGATGGTGTTGCACCTAAATGCTGCCTTCAGCATTGAATTGGAACTCTTTGGCGCAAATCCTGCCATCCGCGACTGTACAGGACTTGCCTTGATCAATTTGCGCCCAGGACGACGGCAAGAATTGAGCTGGATGTGCTTCCTGATTTTGGCCCCATGTCATCGTAGGGCCTACGTCGTAGGGCCCTTCTAGTTCTGTCAGGCCAATGTCGCTGTCAGAAACATGAGGCCGCCCTTCGTCCGTAAGTTGTGGTTGAAGTCTTGCCTAGAATCCAGAACCTGTCCTTGTTCCTTTCCATGTCAAGCTGGCATGACTTCACTTTCTCTGGAAAGTATGGCAAGAACAGCAAGCACCTCTCCAGACGTCACCGGTTGGACGTGGAAGTTGAATGCGCTGGGCAAAGCGAGTCAGTGGGAGCTGGCCGTGCAAATTCTCACCCAGTTAGAGCCATTGCAGATCCGGCTAAATGAGATTACATTCGGTGCCGTCATGGGTGCTTGTTCTAGAGCAGCCCAGTGGCAGTCGTGCCTCCAGCTGATGGAGGATCTAATCGGAAAGGAGCTCCGGCCGAACATCATTATCCACAACACAGCCCTAGCTGCATGCGAGAAAGGCTCGCAATGGACAGTGGCACTTCAGCTTTTCAGTAGCTTGCCACGAGCGACTGCAGATCTCGTTACCTACAACTCCCTGATCACCGCGATGGGTCGGGCCCTTCGCTGGAGCTGCGCCCTGAGGTTGCAGCAGACGTTGCAGGAAGCATTGCTGGAACCGGACCGGATTACATTCAATGCTGCCATGAGTGCCTGCAGTCGAGCGGGTCGCTGGGAGTCGGCCCTGGACCTTTTAGCAGATATGCTTCAGACGGGTCCAGTTCCGTCTCTAGCAGACTTCAATGTTATGATCAGCGCGCTGGGAGACGCCGGGCAGTGGGAGCATGCCCAGCAGCTGCTTTCGGTTGCAGTCACTGCCGCGCTGGATGCAGACGTTGTGACGTATACTTCCTTAATCTCGGCTTTGTCAATCGGGAAGCGCTGGGAATCAGCATTAAGCTTACTTGTTGCAACGGTCGAGAAGAGCCTACAGCCTCAACTCGGAAGTTACAATGTGGCACTTTCGGCACTTAGACGGGCTCATGCCTGGCGCAATTGCCTTCGGCTTGCAGCTGGTGCTTCGGCAGCTGGCCTGCATCCTGACATCATCACTCAGAACGAGTTGCTTCGGGCCTCGGCCCGTGCGGGTCAATGGCAGTTGGTCCACAGCTTGCTTCGCGGCCTAGGAACCCTCTCCTGTCGTCCGAGCCGGATCACCTTCAATGCAGCCTTGCAGAGTGCCGAGTTTGGCCCAGGCGTCGATCTCACTCTCCAGCTGCTGGACGAGATGCCGCAGCTGCGTTTGTCGCGGGAACCTGTTGACTTTAGCCCTGTCATTCTTGGCTTTTTGGCTGCTGGGCGCATGCAGAATGCCCTAGAAGTCTTGGGTTCCATGCTGGAGGATGTGTGCGGAAAGGGTTTGGTACATGTGGCTGCGCAGTTTGACAGGTGCAGCCTGAAAAGGTTGCGAAGGACGAGGGCACTACAGGCCATGGCAGCCTGCTTGAGCCCACTCCTTTCTGCCTGCGAGAGCGAGACCAGCGAGACGGAAGCTGGCACGGAGCTTGCCTTGCTCCAGCTTGTCGGCTTCGGCATAGACTATCAAGAAACGGGGGAAGGCCACGACTCAAGCCATGAGGAGCTTTTGCAACTCGCGCACGCACTGGCTCCCGTCGGCCTTGCCGCCAGGCTTTCGGCTCGCGGCAGGGCCTCCGAGGCCTCGGAGCTGCTGTGGGAGCTTCTGGATCGCCCCGTGCCCGCGGGGCCCGCGGGGCTGGAGCTTACGGCGGTGCTCAGCCGGCGAGCCGCACTGGCCTTGCAGGCAGAGCTCCGAAAGCGGCCCGTGGTTTATTTGCCAAGTCTACCTCGCTTGGGTGGGGCCGAGGCTCCTTCCCGGATGCCTTTGAAGCGCGGGGTGTATGCCCGAGAGCTGAGCCTCCTGCGATACGTTCTCATGGAGGCCAAGGCCGGCAATCCCGCTTCCCTTTGCGAAGCAGTGGAGGCCCACAGCCAGCTACTGGGAAAGGAAGGGATGTGGTCCAAGATTGCAGGTGGAAGCAAGGCCGACTGTTTGCTTGCTGCTGCTGGTGGTTCTGCAGAGGGTCCAGTGCTTGAAATTGGTACATTCTGTGGGTATGCAACCTTGTGCTTGGCACAAGCTCTGCCGGATGTTCGGATCACGAGCCTAGAGACCGATCCCACGATGGTAGCTATTGCCCGAACTTTCATGGCGCTTTCCGGAGTGGCGACGCGAGTTGATATCCGCACCGGCCATAGCCGCAACTTGCTCCCGATTCTTGAAGGATCGTTCGGTATGGTCTTCATGGATTTCTGGGGTTCGCAGTACATGGAGACATGCCAAGACCTCGCCATGCTGGGCCAGTTGCGTCCTGGCTCCACTGTTGTTGCAGACAACGTGCTGGAAACCGGAGCCATGCTTTATTTGTGGCACGTGGCAAACCCCATGGCTGACTTCCACACGCAAGTGATGGTAGTTTCAGAATTCACCAGGACTGGCAACTCGGGGGTCGAGGAGGACTGGCTCAGTGTTAGTGTCTTCGTGCCCCCGATGCATGGCGCAGGGAGCTCAGAACCGCAGGGGCGTCCTCCAGCGCAGGTAATTGAAGCACATGAGACCTCGGAGCGGATGCGGGAGGTGGTGTTCAGCCCTGGGCACACCGTGACAGCCAGAGAGCGCTCAGTTTTCTGTGCAAAGATGAAACAGCTCATCTTCAGCGCGCTGCCTTGCCTGGAGCCGCAGGAAAAGGGAAAAAGTCCACATCAGCTTCCTCAGCTTCAGCTTTTGGAGGTCCTATGCGCTATTGCTTGCACAAAGGAAACCGACCTCAAAAAGATGCCCAGCCTCTGGAAGCAACCGACGGCGACTGTGCCGGGCCATGCTTGGGCTTTCGGGATCTTTCGGGCTTAGGCTTTCTCGCGATGCCGGCCGAGAAATCCCTAGGTGCACGTGGCTGCTGCGAATGAAGCCGGCCAGTCCCGCCCCGCGAAGCTGGAGGCGCTGCCCGTGCTCGTGGCGAGGTACGGTAGGTTTGAGACGTCCGTGTGCATAGTGGCGTAGTGTGCGCATCACTGGAAGGAGGTTCTGATGTGAGTTACTCTCGTTGGAAGTCTGGTGCCGACATGTCTGTGAACTCTGTGAGATCCGGCTGGCTCCATCCATGGCTCTAGCCTCAGCTGTTGCGTGCCAGAGCTTCAGTCTCACGCTTGTCCGGCGAGGGAGTAGTACGTCACATTTACTGCTACTGATGTTGCTGCTGCCGCCCACTGTGCTCTCCTGCTGACATTGTGCTCTTCTTGCTGTTGTTGCTTGCTGGATGATGCTTATTGCCACATGGCAGTGGCTAGCATAGGTTCTGAGCGTCAAAACAGCATTCTCCGAATGAAAATGCCGCCAAGGCTTGGTCTCCGAGCAGTTCGGACAGCGAGTCCACTGTCAGCTCCTGAGGCGACAAGGCCCAGGATCCCCAAGGCCTAGGAAGGTGAAGAGTCGTCAAAGGGCTTGGCGCCCAAGGCGACCTCGAGTTCTGGGCTCCCTAGGAGCCCTCAAAGCCCTGACTTCGAGGAGGAGATTCAGAAGCTTCGGGCTCGGACCCGGAAAGAGCTCTTCGCCTCTTCCCTACCGTCCCGCTCAGGCGCTCGGGGCCCGAGCTCCGGCGCTGGCTGCAAAAACAGCTGAAAGCGAGCCACGACAAGCCTTTTTATGGCTGAATCCGCATCTTGCGCCCACGTCGGCAGGCACCGCTGGTCGCTTGGCTGAAGACACTGCGCCTGCCCACATCCGGGACGAAGGAGGTGCTTGCAGTTCCCCCTCCGTGTTCAAAAGTGCAAGCCGCTTCTCACAGAGAGTGGTCGCAGGATCTCGTGGAGAGGGTCCTGGACGTGATTGGGATGTGAGAACGCTGAGTTTGGAGGTCCAGGGCCATCCGCCGGGTTCAACGAATGTCATATGAATTTTGAATTTGTGCAGGAGCTGGCATCGGCTGAGCAGGTCGTGCTGTTTCCTTAGAACTGAACAAAGCCAGACCGGGACTATGCCGTTTGTTCAAGGATCCAGGAAGATCAAGATCCTTCCTTCCCTTCCGGAGTCTTGGCCTGTGGCATGTACAAACGACAACCCTTCGTGAGGTTCTGAACCGGGGATGCCACCGGGGGCGAGGGTGGCAGATCGAGCTCCATGTCCGACTCTGTTGATTAGTTGAAAGTTTGAGGGGAATAGTACGTGGCGTGGCGCTCGGACCATGGATCTCTGTCTTGATTTCGCACCATGAGCGGGGAGAGTTTTTTGGTTCGACTTCTGGGTTCACGCAGCTCACAGCTTTCTGGGGCGGCGCGAGTTGCAAAACTCGCGCGCTGGACCGCTGCTGCATGTGTCGATGATGCATGGCAGCAAATGAGTCGCTTTCAACTCTTTGGCTGCCATATGATGCAATGCATGTGCTCAGAGGCTCCTGCCCGTGAGTCCGACAACTCTATCAGTTCTGCTCTGACAGCCTGCGAGCAATGCAGTCACCCGGAGAATGGTGATTGCACTCATCCGCATAGTGCGCTTTATTTGTAATATCTTGCAATCGTAGAGGGCCAGCGCCCGCCCAAATGAGATGCCGGCTGCCACGGCCGAGTTGGACGCCGACGGAGGCCCTTGATTCCTGAGCTGCCTTTTGAAGTTATGTGGCTTTCTGCCTTCTTGAACTGAAGGCTGGGCTCAGCCAAAACTGGGCTCGAACACCAAGCCCTTGCCCCAGCGGCGTGACTGCAAGAGGCCGCTGGAGGCTGGGGGAGTGCCATGTCTGCGCAGTGACTCAGGGCATGACTGCACGAAGTGGTTCGAACTCTGAAGGCTCTGAACTGAACCTGAAGGGGCTGCATGCTTGTATGGGCTTGTTTGGCTGACAGCTTTAGCTGCAAGTAGATGATCAGAAGCAGCATCGCGATTCGTCCGCCGAACTCTCCAAGTGCGACGGTCTCAGCTTGATCTTGATATGACACATCTGACTACACGAGTGGCGTTGGGCGGTATCTGAGTAGGATCGCTGAATGTATTGTCACTGACTTGTCACACTTGAGGCCTGCACGCGATGGGTCGCAGCGGCCGCGGACGGGTTGTGAAGGAAAGCCGCGCAGAGGAAGAAGGAGCCCAAGACGCCTTGAGGGAGGCGCAAAGCAGCTTTCTGGGAGAGGACTCAGATATTTGGGCCGGGGCCTAGTTTGTGTTTACCTCGCATGGCAGGTACCCACTCCGCTTCGTGGAGGTCGGGGCACCGTGAAAACTCCGGTAAACGCACTGGAGGAGGTCATGCGACGACGAGGCAGGGTCAAAGCTAAGCAATGAGATCTGACCGAAAGAAGGCAGGACGCCACCATCACTTCAGGTGTAGATGAGGCTTGGGATGCCTTGGAGCAGATGCATGCAGACGGCAAGACAACGGACAAGTCCGCCAGCACGTTTTGATCGGACCACACTGTGTGCTGATATGTGCTGCGCATGGGCGGTTAGAGGTACACGGTTTCCCGAATGCTGATGAAGACCGTCGGTGATGGGCAAGCTCACCTCGACCCAACAAGAGCCTACAGGGGAATCGCCCTGGTGGAGCGATTCATCGAGATGCAACCGGAGGCCGGCCGAAGGGCCGAACGCCTCCTTGCGGGCAAGTGTGTCCACCAGCCCACTAAATCCCCTCTTGGTGAGGATGTGGACGAGGTCTTGTTCAATGCCCTCCTGGACACTTGCTGCCGCCTCAAGGACTCTGGCACAAAGTGGACGGTCACCGGATCCAGCATCATCATCAAGCAATAGCTTTGCTCTGGCTTCTGCAGGACCTGAAACGGCTCGAGAGCTGTGTAAGCTGGATGCGGCAGCTGAGGGTGAAGCCATCGCCTATCACACTAGGCTTCCTGGCCCTTGGGCCTTGTCTCTAAGCCTGAGTCTGTCTTTCCTGTCATGTCATGTCAGGCATTCTGGTGAAGACTTACGGCCAAGCCGGTGACTTGGAAAAGGTATTGGCGGCCTGGGACGAAATGGAGGCCAGCGGGCACCTCGTTGTGAATCAGTCAAGCTAAGGCAGCTAAGTTTGGTCAGGAGCAGAGGGGATTGGCCAACTCAGTGACGTATGGCTGCATGCTGGACGCGTGCGTCAAGTGTGGGAACCTCCAGAAGGCCGTGGAGGTATTCAGAGGAATGCGTCAGGTGGCTGCACATGGTACGGAGGGCATCGGGATCAATCTTTCATGGGTTTCTTCGGAGCCGACGGGTTCCTGGGAAGGAGCAGGCAGGCATGAAATCACCGTAAATTCTTGCTCGCATGCCCAGCCGCAAGCCCAGGTGCCACGGGCAAGCATCGCAACACCATCCTCTACACCACTATGATCAAAGGCGCTTGGTTAGACTTTTATGGCACATGGCTTCACGTTTGCCCGTGTGAAGATTTGTCCAGGCTATGGCTTACACAAGGAGCTGGAGAATGCGTTGGAGCTCTTCCATGAAATGCGAGAAGAAGGTGCTAGGCCCTCAGAAAAAAAACCCGAGAGGTCGGGCAACCTTCTGTGCCAGTATGGTTCAGAGTGCTGCGGTGTGTTTCAATAGACCTAGTACATGTACGGCAGTTTACGGCAGTGTGACCTAGTCCGCTGAGTGGGTGGGAATATACATGTACTCAGGTCCCTTACAACACCATCACGTACAACTCTATCCTGGAAGCCTGTGTGAAATGCGGAGACATTGTGTCCGCTGAGGCACTTGTGTTGCTTGAGACGTTGGAGGGTCAGTTGAGATGCCCAGTCAATTAACGACTAGACCAGGCACGCCGAAAGACTGGGAGAGAAGCTTGCTCAACTCCGGGAGCTGCACCTGCCTAAGCCTTGACTCACCATCCTGCCAGAACATTCTCGAGCAGATGGTGCAGACGGAGATGGAAATCGTGCCAGACCTGATCAGCATCTTGGCAAGGAACTGGCCACCTGCATTGCGTCAGCCCTGAGCGACTGCAAAACACGGGGTGCACGCGTGCGTGCATCTAAGTGACATCTGAGCATACTGCACTGCACAACAACTGAAAGCGAGGTTGCCGGACCGGGGTATCACGTGCGACTAGACCTTGCGAGTGTGTCAGGTTCCAGGGGGATGCATGTGCCCCCCTAGTTATCGTGCTTTAGTTGTCTAGACATGTCTAATCTTTGTGCTCTGGACTTCCGACCACCATTAGCAAAACATGTCAAAGAGTGGCTTGCTTATTCAAGTAACAAGAAAAGGGAAGATCTCACAAAGCACAACCGAGGCTACTCTACGGTCCTGAAGGGCTACTGCCAGAATGGAGAGCTGCTGAAGGTCGCTGTGTGGAGGAAGCCATCCCAGAGGCGTCTTGCCCTGTGCCCCTGCTCAGGCGCTTTGCATGTTCGATGACATGAAAGAGCGACGCCTTCGCTGCGACGAGCTCGTGTACAATACGCTCATGGAAGGAACTCTTAGCTGCTGCGTTTGACAGTTAACGACATCTAGTGAGCTGACAGCGAGTGGCACATGTCCTGCTGGCCGAGATGTGTCTTGTGTGCTGGTTTGTTGTTTCACGTCTTGTGGCAACTGTGGGAAAACAGCATAGGTGCTTGGTGCATGACTGGCCCCGTGCAGGCTGCGTGAAGGCGGACGACTGGAAAGCAGGCCGCTACTGTGTGGTTGTTGGGCGACGATGCAAGGCATGACAGAGCGGACAAGTTGTTACGGTCTTTTCATCAGATGCCTTCATAATTCCGCTTCTGCATGCCTGTCATTGGCCCCCATCACCAGTTTCATGTCTTCCTCAGTGCTACTGCCTCCCAGCAACTGAAAGACACGACGTATGGTGCCCGGACTTCGACAATGTATTGGACGGTTCACTGATTCTCCTTGCTGTGACCAGAAGGGTTTTGCGACCGCACTGAAAACTCCCGTCGCAGGCTGCGGCCTCTTCGCAGAGATGGTTTCCTGCGGACTCCGACCATCTGCGATCACAGCCAGCATTCTCTCAAGGTGTGTGTTTTGAATGGTGGGTGCACTGCATATCTGCACATATGCACATGGATCCTGGTCGTAAGCTCGAGCCCTGAACCCATGCCCAGCACTGAAGACCCAACAAGAATACCTAGGCTTGATGTGACAAGCGTCAGCTTACTGGTGTCTGATCCTCTGTTTGGAGTAGCGCGGCGCTTGGCATGGGAACGGGTATCGTGGGGAGTGTGGAGGCTTTTCCAGCGAGTCGGCCATGAAGATGCGGATGACAGGGTGACGGATCTCTTCGCCGCGTGATTCGGCTGCATCGAGTCATTGCGTGCTCGGCAAAGTATCGGCGATCCACACGCGTTGCTTCTCGTCGACTTGAAGTGCAGCACATGATGAACCTGACCATGAACCAGTGACACTAGTTTGCGGTAACACTCTGGAGTGTTGTCGGTGCTATCGCTGCATGAATACCTCAGCCACGTCTTTTCTTCAACTGCCTCAGCCTGAGCGCCCCGAGTGTGAAAGCACAGGGTTGGCCTGGAAAAGCCGCAGCCAGCCGAGCGGCCTCGTGCCTCTCGCCGCGGGCAGCGCTCGCCCGCTGCTTCTCCAGTGCCTTGACGGGATGTGACGGGAAGGCCTTCGTGTCAGTACCAGCTGGCACTTACATGTCGCAAGAGGTTTATCGTTCAGAAAGGCTTCGGATGTCGGAACGACAGGGTTTGGATTCGTGGAGCGGTCCGAGATATTTTTCAGCCTGGCTGCTTTCTTCATGAGATTTGGATCTTGTCGGGGGCCGTGTCCTGGCTTTCTCCTAGGTGGAGGCATCTCCGTCAGTCACCGATGGCTTGACACACCTGGTCGCGGCCACGGGGCTGTTTGTGAGGAGTTGAGCTTGAACATGTCGCAATGCCGAGGTGTCGCAGAG